TAACAAGAAGAAGCCTCAAAAGTTGGAAAAAAAAAATTTCCAATGTTGTACTCGATCAAGTTCACTACTTTAATTAATTTACCTTTATAAGGTTCAACTTAATCATATTTAGTTAAGTCAACTCATTATCTCTAGGTGAGATTTGATAAGTTTTAACTTAATGCATTAAATCACTCATGAATTCATTTAAGCTTTGCAACAATAGTAAAAATGTGTCTCTACCTTCTACCTAATTATTGAATTTTACTATGTGATCTAAAATTATAGCTCTATATCAATTCCACAAATTATCGATCAAATAATTCAAGCATTGCTAAAAAAGTAAAATCAATTAAGATTGAAAACCTGTAAATCAAATGAAATGTTCAAACTAGGTTATATCTTTTGTCTCCAACTAGAAAATTAGTTGTATATCATAATTAAAGAAAATACAATAAAATATCATAAAAGGAATAAACGAGAAAAAGATGGATATTGCACCAAGAATTTGCATTATTCTGACGCAGTGCGAAACAAAGAATTTAAACGAAAACCTAAAGAATACAATTGTTTAAATCCACCAAACTATATAAAATAAACCCACAAAATTTTATTAATGTAAGAGGATAAAAAACGACAAGAAAACCTAGTTTGAACAAACTAAAATTGAAAAGAATTCGAAATAAACTAAATATAAAAATAGCAATAAAACTTTAAAAGTAGTTTTCGAGTCTTAAAGGAACTTGGATGGCCAAAATTCATCTTAGGCCCCGTTTGATTGTGAAGGAGGAAAAGGAAAAGGAATTCCTCCTAAGTTGAAAAATAAAAAACCACCATACCCATAAGAATTCGTTTTCCATAGAATTGGCAAAAAATGTGCTTTAAATGTTTGTACATAAGAATTCGAATTTCATTTCCACATGCGAATCAAACAGTCAAAGTGAAAATTATTTTTCTTGGATGTGACATTTTCCATAAAAAATATTGCAATCAAACAGGGTCTTAGATCAAAGCAAAGTAGTAAATTCTACTTGTCTTGTCGTTCTCTTTTCGAAATGGTATTATGGGCCTAAACCAAAACTCAACTAACACACCTAAACCATTTTCGATACAATTCTTCTTCAATCCATTTAGCCATATGTTATACATCATATTCTTGCAACAGTCTTTGATATCATAGCATTTAATTGTGTATTTACTCTCAAAAAATTGTTTATCGTATGGTATGAAACAATCCATTTTTCGACCTAGTTTGGTAATTTATATAGCCCTTCGATGCTCAGGAATACATACCGTGTGAAAAACCTAAATTGCCATCAACTTATCGTCCAAAGAAAAAAAGGGACCTGCTCATATCCAAATTTTATACACTTTCAGTTCCTCCACTCCAAATTGCTCAATTACGCTCAAATTACCTTTCCTTTCTTTTCTTTTCTTTTTCTTTTTCTTTTTTGTTCAATCCACTTCCATGTCCGGAGTTTTACCTACAAACACATTATAAACAAAAATTAAGTAGAAATTTGCTCAATAAATCAATAATATACGAGTTTAGATGTCTAGATAAGCGTGCAAAACACACTTATCATGATTACTTATAGCATGTTAACTCCATTATTTCTCTGAATAATTGAACTACAAAGTTAGACCATCGCTTCTAATTACTATAAGCCCTGTTTGAGCCCCATTAAATTTATAATACGTTTTTCTCTTTCTCTTTTTAACCATACATTCTTCAATACAATAATGTTACACATAAATTAAAAAAAAATTCTTTATTTTTCAATTACACATTCTTAAAAAAAAAAAAAACAATATTCCCAAAATTATAAAATTAAATAAT